GGGTGTGAGGTGTGGGTGTGGGTGTGGGTGGGTGTGAGGTGTGAGTGTGGGCGTGGGGTGTGTGTGTGCGTGTGGATGTGGGTATGGATGTGGGTATGGATGTGGGTGTGAGGTGTGGGTGTGAGTGTGGGTGTGGGTGCGTGTAGTTCTTTGAATCCACAGTCACAGCGACACGCACACAGCCACACCCACACCACACACCACACACCACACCCACACCCACACCCACACCCATACCCATACCCGCACCCACACCCACACCCAGCCACCCACACCCATTCTTGTATTCTCACATCCACTCCCACTCACACCCTTATGATACTTTCTTATAGATGTTATATCTATACTAACCGAGTGGTAAACGTGTTCCACCCTAGCAATCATACTAATAATATCTGTATTAGCTAACATATTGCCAGTTCAACTTGATATATCAGTAAATAATTCACAAGTCGAGTAGATTTATAAAAACTCGCCGCTTGCCATTGATCTTGAGTTAAACACATAAGTTGACAATCGCGAATGTCTGATGTTTTAAAGCAAAGTCTGAAATGATTTCATATGAATAATTTACGTATCAGATGAAAACACATAGGACATCCACCAGAATTGGTGGATTTTCTGGCAGAAATAGTAAATAGAATGAATAGATATTCCAGCAGAAACATTAAATATTATGAATTGATATTCTAGAAGAAATTGTAAACAGATATTCTGGCAGAAATGAGAACTAAAATATGGAATTCACAAGTAGTCAAGAATGACTGTGGTACGAAAAGGTTCTTTTAATAAGGGTGTGGATAAATAAACATTTTTACTAGAGCTGAAGCGTATTAATGGACGGTGTATAATGTCACTGTAATTGAAAATCTTTGAGTTACCAAAAATAAGGCAAAAAATTTTCGCAGAAACAAAATTTTCTTTCTTACATTTTTGTGGGGAGCTAGCCCCCCATTAATCGAAGTCCATGTATACGGCTGACTAGTAAGTCTTTCTATTTTTTATAATAAAAGCAATGGAAAAAGTATTTTATGAAACACGAATATTGAAGTTTATATTGTGAATCTTTACATTTTCAGTTCTATGTTTTCAAGTATGTAACTAGATATTTCGTACTATTACACTTAAGTTAGCCTTTAACGTTCATGACTGGACATATATAATCATTAAATCTTTTCGCTAATGATAGAGAAAAAGAGTTCTATCTTTTTTTTCGTAATTTTAGTTATGGGATGTGCAACAATTGTAGTAGGATATTTTCAAGTTTCTTCTTGGTTTACTGCATGTGAACGTCAAACACGTTGTCTTAGTGAAACACTTTTTCGGTCAATACTTAATAAAGAAATAGCTTATTTTGATGTAAATATAACTGGTCAACTTAGTACAAGATTAGCAAAAGATATTAATAAAGTCCACGATGGTGCAGGTGATAAAATTGGTTCAGCATTATAATTTTTTGCTGCTTTTCTTGCTGGTCTTGTACTGGAGTATATTCAAAAAAAATTTATTTTCTAAGAATTTTATTGTTCAATTTAGTTTAATACGAGGATAAAAATTAATATTGGTTATACTGCTGTTAGTCCATTACTTTTTATTAGTGCAGTTATTTTCACAAGAGTATAGAGAAAACAAATAAAAAACGTTTTTGTTTTATTAAGCTATTGCTGAAGAAGTTATAAGTAGTATACGAACTGTTTTTTCATACAATGGAGCTGCTTATAAATCGAAAAGGTAACAAATTATAATTGATTAATAAATATTTTAAATATGGTTTTTGTTTTTATTTTATTTTAATAGATATGTAAAACATTTAAGATCAGTAAAACTAAGTGGTATTCGTAAAGGAGAATTAAATGGAGCATTAATGAGTGCTATTTTCTTTTTTATCTTTTGCACTTATACTTTGGTATAATTGATTTTTTTTTGTTTTGTTTAATATATTAAATTATTTTCTTTTATTATTAGGGTTTTCGGTATGAAGCTAAACTTGTTCATGAAGAGGATTTTTCCAATGGAGGAATTCTTATTGTAAAATTCATATTTAATTGAAATAATTTTAAGCTTTTTTTAGTTTGTATTATCTTACAGATCTTTTTTCAATTATTACAGCAGTATTTAGTCTTGGTCAAGCAGCTTCTCATCTTCAATCAGTAGCATAGCCATCGAAAATTATTATAAATGATCCTAATGGTTTAAAAAAAGAAAGATTTTATTGGTGATATAAAATTTACTAATGTTCATTTTTCTCATCCATCTCGAATTGATGTTCTTGTTCTTAACAGACTTTCATTTACGGCTCAACGTGGTCAAACAACAGCACTTGTTGATTCTTCTGGTTGCGAAAAAGTAAATATTTCAATTGAACATGAAATTCTCAATAAAAACACAAAAACAAAATCATTTATTTATTTTAGAGTACATGTGTACAATTATTACAAAGATTTTATGATCCAATTGATGGTTCAGTTGAAATCGATGATATTCGGGTTAATCAATATAATCTTAGTTGGCTTCGAGAATATATTGGTGTTGTATCACAAGAACCAATTTTATTTCAAACAACAATCAAAGAAAATATACGTTTTGGAAGAATGAATGCAAAAACAGAAGAAATTGTGGAAGCAGCAAAAATGACTAATACACATAATTTTATAATGGAATTACCAGAAAAATATGAAACACTTGTTGGTGAACGTGGTGCACAATTAAGTAGAGTATGAAATATTCTTATTTTTTCTAATTTATTCATTAATTAAGTTTTTTCTAGGGACAAAAACAACGAATAGGCATAATGATTATTGAATAAAAAATAAATCTTTTTTTTTCCTGTTGAATACTTGTGTTTTTTGAATAGCTATTGCTCGTGCACTTATTCGTAATCCTCGTATTCTTTTACTTGATGAAACAACAGTAAGAAGAATTTTAATAATCAATTTTTTATTGATTTTCAAATTTCATATTTTAAATATTTTTTCTATAGAGTGCTCTTGATAGAGAAAGTGAAAGTATTGTACAAGATGCACTTAATCGTGCATCAAAAGGACGTACAACAGTTGTTATTACACATCGTTTATCAACTATAGTAAATGCATCAAAAATAATTGTTCTTGATAAAGGATCAATAATTGAAGAAGGTAAATAGTATAAATAACTGAAATCAAATATTTTAATAAATGATTACTTTTAAGAAAATCATGCAACATTAATGAATGCAAGAGGAGTTTATTATGGTCTTGTTGAAGCACAAAATTTACGTATGCAAAATAATGATCAAAAGGAAGATGATGATGATGACACATCAAGTATGAGAAAAAATGTTTTCTTCAAAAACAAGAAGAACAAATTCACGATGAGATTCAAAAGTAAACCTACTGGCACAATCACATCAAAGTTAGACAACAGTCAAATACAACTAATGGCTACAGATGTCCATCGCGGCTGAAAATCTGCCGCTGCCGCGCCACGATGAATTGTAAAATAAATGTGCCGCTGCTGCGAAAGTTTTCAAAAAAGTGTTTTTGATTTCACTGCTACGACTGTATTCGATCAGAAATATTGGTACTAGTCCATTAGATTCATTCAGTCTCAGAGTGTTTCATTTGTAAACACTGAAATTCTATTAAATTCATGCAATTTTTCAATGTCCTCGAAAAAAAAATGCTACCGCCACCATGGACATCTCTCCCAATGGTATCATACTAGGTCACTGTGACAAGGGAAATCT